CTACTTACTCAGTATAGCTAGTTACTTACCAAAAATCCTCCAGTTTTTGAGTTTCTTATTAGGGTCAAACCAAGGTTCATCTGTTCCTTTATCTCAGTAACATTTGGGATGCTTGTTAAAGCTAAAAATAAAGAGATTAAAAGATAGCAAAACCCCTTACATTGCTATTATATTTTTATCAGTTACAGAGTTCAAAACTTAAATGTAAATAACCAGATTTGGAAGAAGAGTTTTTCATAAACTTCATCCCATAAAAGCTTCTGGTCAAAACAAAAGAGAGATAGATAATTGGTTTGAGAAATTTGCTAACCTGCATGAACTAGACTTATTACATATCTAGATTAGCATTTATAATTAGAGTGCCTGCTTTGAAGAGCCACAGGAATTAGGCAAATAAACCAAAGTGTTTAAGTGGCAGTTTAACTATATACATTACAACTGTTTTGAATAAGACAGTTCTTATTGTTTACATTACTTGGGATATCAGATCTCTTTCAACTGGATCAAGCCCAAATCTTAGAAATTTCAGATAGAATACACATGATGATGGGAAGATTTGTATGAGGAGAGAAATGTTTTATTCCATAGCCCCCCAAAGAAAATTTTAAACAGGGCTCTGAACATAAGGTATTCTTAATCATCTCATTGTTGCTTTATGCTGCTGCTCTGTGTATTTGTCACATCTTATCGTTGGCCCTCGATTCATTTTACACTTAGTTTGTAAATCGTTCTGGGCAGGAACAGTCTTTTTGTGTGTTGGGCAAGTGCTAACACATTGGAACCTGATCGGAACCCCTTTGCACTGCTGCAATACAAATAATACATACTACCACCTCTTCAACTGGAACGGTTAATAAAGAGCTAATATAAATGCTCTACATCTGTGAGAAAAAAAGATATAGGAAGCAAAATAAAGAGTTGTGGAGAAACAGATCATCAAAGTTACATACTACTTAGAAAACATGGTCAATAAATGTACTGTCCTTTTTAACTTCATTAGGGTTAGTATATTTGTGCTGATTGCCTAACTGGAGTTTATCAAATAATCTGGCCAGGTACAGAAGTGTGTCAAAATGGACAACTGCTTCAAGTCTGCATTAATTATAACTTACTTTGCAAATTCAGTTTTTTACATGTGGGTTCAAATGAGCCAACAGGACATGCGTAGACATCTCCCATTCTGTTTGCTGGATACCCACTCCATGGCGAGCCAACAATCAGCCTAAAATCAAGGGGAAACCAATTCATTCTTTCTTTACATTCTGATATAGAGTAGTATATTCATTAAAGGTAAACTGAAAATAAATGAGAAATTCTGAGGCCCTACAGACAAGTTAGAGAGGAGCTCACAGGATTTAGAATAGTACAAATGTTTTGAGTAACTTGATTAGCTAAAACCAAAAAAGAACTTCCTTTCCAAATGTCCCAAAGTTGTGCTTTGCTCAACTGTGACTTCCCAGAGTGCACCACACAAAAACAACCTAAGTGTCATAGCAGAGAAGCCTGGTAGAGAATGGGAAGAGTGCATGAGGAAGTCAAGTATTCAGAGGCTGTTTTAATCTACTGTGTGGTTACCAGTATTATGTTATATCATAAAGTCAAAGGAACATAAAAAGATATGAATAATCACAAATACATAAACAGTAATTAATTGTAATATATAGAGACAAATAGCAAATTCAGAAATTATCATCGGTAGTTTCTTGACAGTGAAAACACACCCTAAAGAGTTGTCAGGTAATTAATTCCCTAATTTCTTTTATATTATACTTTTAACTGGTAAGAGACATTATATTCAGTATCTAGACAATGACGGTATGTTGCCGAAGTCTGAACTTGAACTCTGCTCCTATGCTGTGAAAACAGTGAGTCAGAAAGGAAATCCTGTAAGCACTGATAAGACTATTGTGTTGTGTCTCTTTCATCATGGATAAGAATTTTAAGATGAATAACTTCTAGTTAAGTTGTCAAAAGTCTTCTAGTGATTCACTCTCTCCTAATCCTATGCTCTGCTCCTAGCAACTGCCACATTCACCCTCTGCAGCATTCTGACCTCGCTAGTGCCTTCCATTTGGAAAATGCAGAACAGTTTAATCCCAGATAGCTGGGGACACAGACTATAAATACATGCATTTCAACTTTCACTTAACCTTGGAAAGGGAGCAGCATTGTTACAGTAGTTTAGGACAAGAAATGAAAAAGAATTCCATACACCATAGAAAATGCAGGGACAATGTGAGTTAGTAGAACTATTCCCACGGTTATAAGCAGTGATGTCTCAAACACTGGATTATGAAACCCCTTAATTAATGATTAGAAAGGAGAGGACTCCTGTTTATATATGCTAATATCCTTCTGATTATAGAATATTAAAGATTTCTCCAGCATTGCTTAGGTCCTTAATTCATTTTTGTTTATCTTCATTTAAACCATTGCTCGGAGGTGGGGAAGGGGGAGGTTGCCAGAATAGGGGCTGGGATAGTCCTGGTGGGAGAGGGGTACCCCCAGCCAGCCCACTGCACAACCAAACCCTTATCTTGCTTTAAGTTATAAGAGAAGTCTGCATACCAAACGTGGTTGTCCTAGCTCTTACCATTTTGGAGGACTTCATGAACAAACATATGGACAGACTGACTTGCCTGCTCGCTCACAGACAAACAAACCCTTTTAAATATATAGCACTTTAACCATAGTCAGTAACCTGCATTGATATGGAAGGATAATGAGAAACCAACGATGCAACAACTAGAGGTTACCATTTGAGAAATTTTAACAGAGTTTAATAGAAAATGATAGCCTTTCAATAGTATATTTTAAATACTCAGTAGAATTTTAAAGACAACACCCACCTCCCATAGAATTCTATAGGATAGTTGAAACAAAGAAAAGTAAAAAAATTCTATAAAACTTTGCTACATTTCCATAGAACCCATATGACTGAATTGTTATTCAGTACTACAGGAATTAAATAAAAAGGATTTGGTAAAAATATTACATTTTATAATGCACATGGGATGTTTTAGGGTTATTCAGGCTACGTCAAGACTGCATTGCTTTTTGGGGATATCTCCAGTATCCCCAAAAAGCAGCACCGCATCCAAGGAACACATCCTGTAAAACTGGCCCTAGAACCAACCCTTGGAGCACTCCACTTGAAACAACCGCCAACCAGATATTGAGACACTGATCACTACCTTTTGGGCCCGACAATCCAGCCAAGAATCCTTCACCCATTCCCTGTCTATGTTCTTCCACAAAGTCTATTTTTCAGAATTATTTGCTCCTTAGGGTCCTTCTGCATGCCAGTGGTAGCTCATGGCAGTGGCCTCCTCTGGCTGCCAGGCTGCGGTAGCTCTGGGGGCTAGGGCTGGGGTATACTCCTCTTGCTGTGGCTGTTGGGAGAGGCATGTCCTACTCCACCTCGCAGCCAACCAATCCCAGGCAGGGAAGTGCTCTTCCGTGGATGGGAGGAGACCCCATGCTGTACAGCACTGGCCCCCAGAACCACCACGGAAGGCTCTGGAGGCTGAGATAGTAGTAGGGAAGCAGGGCTGGCACTGTGGGACTCTGGCGATGGGGCTAATATTGGGGGCTGGCACTAGGGAAAGCTGGAGGGGTTGGATGCAGTGGGGCTCTGGAAACAGGATGCTGGTACCATGGGGTCTGGTGTGTGGGTCTCTAAGGAGCAGTGAGCTAGCACTGTGGGGCTTGGGTGCAGGGGACTCTAGGGTCAGTGGGTAGTGCTGGGGGGTGGTGGAGGGCTTTAGGGGTTAGGGCTGGCACTGGTGTCTCTGGGGGTAGGGATAATGGATATGCAAATATGCAAATAAAATCTTGCCGGTCTGTCAAAAGTTTATGAATGGGTTTGCTGGCCCCCGATATCAAAAAGGTTGGGAATCACTGCTCTAAATCTTGGTCAATAGTCTCAAGCTCATGCTACTGATCTAAAATCAGAAGTGTAGACAGCACTTTCCAGTCCCAGCTTGGGCTGGAGATTGGACTCAAATGTAGGGTGGCTGCCTCATCCCTAAGCGTCAAAGATGCTACAACGTCTACACAAAAACAAGAAGTTTGGTGGCATCTTAAAGTCTAACAGATTTATTTGAACATGGGTAAAAACTAGTTCATCAGATGCATGCATCAGAAATCACAGTCAATATACGTACCAGCATACCAAAAGAAGGGAACTGCTTATCAAGTATAGGACCAATGTTAACAAAGCCCATTCACTCAGGGTTTATGGGGAGGTGTGAATACTGAGAGGGAAAATTGCCTTTGTAGTGAGATAACCATTCCAAGTCCTTTGCAGATTTAGCATAATCAAATTAGGACAGCATAGGGGCACCCCTAGGTATGTCTATACTCCAGTTAAACACTTACAGCTGGCAGGTGCCAGTTGACTCGGACTTAGACTCAGTGGCTGTTTAATTGCAGTCTAGATGCTCAGGATTAGTCTGTAGACAAAGCTCTAGGGCCCTCCCTCCTCACAGGGTCCTGGGTCTTGGGCTCCAGCCTGAGCATCTACACTACAGCCCATTAGCCCAGAGCCCTGAGAGCCTGAATCAGTGGCCATAGGCATCTAATTGCAGCGGACACACACACTTTGGGCTAGAAACGATGCATAAACCACCAAACTAATTCCTATGTCCTCTGAAGAACTTTGGCCAAACCTACACTGGGAAAATAAATCATGTTGGAAAGTATATTAAATTAATGAGCTATTTAAATGAATAAGATGTTAATCATGACTCAGTACCTGGTGTAGACAGAGACAAGCTGTGTTTAAGAACATGTCACTTGCTTATTGTTAATCTTAGGGTTCCCGTGACAAGCTCAATAGTTTCTATGTATCAACCATCAGAACACTAAAGACAATGAAGCAATGAATCCAGAGTGGCGGCTCAAGTATGTTTATCCAGAGTTCTAGGCTGGCAAGGTTAATTAGTGCAGCCATCTGTGGTGTCGTGCCTTCATGTCCACTGTTACTTAAGCTAGATTTGATCTAGTAAATCTATAATAACTTGAGTACATCTACATTTGCTGTTCAATATGCACTGGCAATCCAAAAAGCGAACCAAAAGTTAGGACCTGGTAGGAAAGGGATAAATAATGGTAAATATCATAATGCCATTCTATAAATCCATAGTACATCCAAACTTTAAATACTGTGTACAGTTCTGATCACTCCCATCTCAAAAATATATTAGATCTGGAAAAATATAGAGACGGGCAACAAAAATTATTGGAGTATAGAACAGCTTCTGTATGAGCAGAGATTAAAAGAGTAGGAATCTGGAAGGAGAGAAAACTAGGCTATAAAATCATGAGTGGAGCAGAGAAAGTGAATAAAAAAGTTATTTATCCCTTCACACAGCACAAGAACCAGGGATCGCCTGATGAAATTAATAAGCAGCAAGTTTAAAATAAAAAAGAAAATCCTCACGCAATGCACAATCAACCCGCGGAACTCGTTTTCAAGAGATGTTGTGAAGGCTAAATGTGGAACTAGATTAAAAAAAAGATTTAAATAAGATCATGGAGGACTGGTCCATTAGTGGCTATTAGCTAAGAGAGCTAAGCCTCTGACGGCCAGATGCTGGGACTGGATGACGGGATGGATCACTGGATAATTGCTCTGTTCTGTTCATTTCCTCCGAAGTGTCTGGCATTAGCCACTGGAGGAAGGCGGGATACTGGGCAAGATAGATCATTATTTTGATTCAGTGTGGCCACTCCTATGTCCTTCTAAATGTACATTAAAACCAAATGTACCATCAAGGCAGCAGAAGCAGAACCTGTCCATTATTTTGAGGATTTTCATCAATTACACAACTCCTGAACCCAAGAAAATTATGAACCCTTCTGGCCCTTGCTATCCACTTCACTTACCTCCTACCACTAGTCAGGATGAAAAGCAAGAATCATCAGAGGATGAACACAAGGAGGCCAAAGAAGAGATGTTTAGCCAGATAGGAAGCAAGCCTATTTCCCAGACAGACATCAAGGCTGTGACTGAGGAGGTAGATCTTACTAAGACATTGGCCGGCAATAACCATCTCATAGGCCAGAAGTGGTTCACCAGGGATAACTCGGGCTGCTACCACTGTAGTTGGCTGCACCTCCACAAGTATGGGTGCTTGCAGCTCCCATTGGCTGTGAATCCCTATGCCCAGCCAATGGAAGCTGCGTGAAGCAGCATTCCACACACGCCGCTTCCTGAAG